ACTAGCTTCTGTGTCTTGTGATCTGGGTCCGAACCTCAGTATAAATAAACGTCGTTTCATGCTGGGAGCCAGCCATATGACGAGATGCTGAACGGCGATGCCGGACGTAAAACATAGAGGTGCCCTATATAACGATTAATCTTTGTAATCTATCATGCTTCTTTCTAATATCTCATAATATATAGTGAAGATTCTCAGCTGTTCCAGGTGCAACCCATTATGCAATTGTATTTGTGAAACAACAATAATGAAAGTGATGTAAGCATCCAATGCCGAGGCAGGACGACCCACGAACCGGGCACTGTGTTTTCTTCTCAGCAAAAATAATACTTCTTGATCGCTGATTCTAAAATATTGAAACTCTCCAGTAGCTTTTTTGTATAAACAAAGTTGATTCCAAAAATACGTTTAGTCTCAACAAATATAGAGATCTCATATTTAAGATTTTTGCGTATGTTCCTTGGATGGGGTAATTATTGCATTGTTAAATAGGTGCAAAAGTCTCAAAAAGCTTATTATATAGTTTTTGAGGCTTCTGTATGAGAAGCGCTATCACAGCTCATCTTTTCAAGTAAAAGGCAAAAAGGCTACATTTCGTGCTTCATTGAGGGCCAAAAAGAAGATTCTAAAAGCGTTCGAAAACGACATTATTAAGTATACTGTATAACCTATTGAGTCTTGTTGAAGCTTCTTTCGTTCACGTTAGTATTAGCAGGATCCAACTCATATTTTAGCATAACTAAATAAATGATATCAATATAGTTTTTAATTTTCTAGTCTTCAGAACAGAGTTCTGGGTGTCGGGAAATTTACAACTGTATGAGTTATTATTACGCATAGGCCTTAGCTACGCTATAAACTGCTGCTGCAACCTCCATATAATATTCGGCGGTTGCTGAAGATAACAGCACGAAACTCTTTTACGTGTATCCTCTCACCTGGAACCACACGTTTATATTTTGACATAATGACTCAGATCGGGTAAAACTAGAACTATATTTGCTTCCAAGAAATAGTCCTCAGCTTAAAGTTTTCTTCCTAGGCATGTGACCCCTAACTTATTTGAGTTTGTACGTTTTGTATTACTGCCTCAATGAAACACTGTTCGCACGGTAGGTATATTCTAGCACGAAACAAATTGAGGGAAAACGTGTCCACGGGGTTTCGGACATAGGTCGTCTTACTACGCGTTTGTAACTATAGTAGGTGAACGCGCTAGCCTTGCGTTATCACGGAGACAAGCATACGTCATTGTGCCGTATTTTCATAGCTATTCATAGTCTAAGTGGACGAGCTTCTTATTTTATTTTTCCATAACCAAGAGAGGCAAAGGTATAACAAGCTGCACTCAATCGCCAATTGACTACTACAAGCTCATATTCAATCTCGTTTCCGCTTTTAATCTCGCGGTTGAATCGGGCGAATAACCCAGTCATCTGACAACGATCTTGTCCGCTACGGATTCCACGTGACCGATGTTATACTGGCATCCCTATACACACCCAGGCAGTAAAAGTTCAAGGCGAGCAAAATTGTTGAGTTCAAGAAAACAAGAGACAGGTCCTTAAAGACCTAATGTGGGCAGAAAAAGGCTACGGTACACGTAATATCCGTTTATGTACATACCAACTGTGCACTACGAAAAAAATCTGTGTATATTATCTTCGTACACAACATGCATGCAATATTACACAGGAACCGCGGATGCTTGATTTTGTAAAGGGCAACTTTCAAAGGTAGCGCGCACGATTTGCTCAAAACACTGAGAACTTCAGCCCGGGCCAAGTAAAGGGCAAACAAAACGTGCGCTCGAATGTCGACACATCATTTGTTTGTTGGGAAAAATAATTAGTGCAAATATGGAAGAAAATGTCAATATTGTAGCGTATCACTTCAGTGAATGCTACACTGGGGAGCGGCGATTGTTATTTAGATTAATAGAATTACTACTTCAGACCGCATAAAGATTCTTGAGAATTGCCAAACTTATCTTTCGTTTGGTCCAATCACGTATCTATATTATGGATAGTATAGGGTCGGATTATATAAGAAGAAATGCAAGTAAAAAAAACTAGCCAATTTTCAATGTTACAGGATTATATGCGTTACATATGAGAAGATTAGGCGAAAAATCTTAATTGGCCAGTTCGTGCCACCGTAGTGCTGAAGACTCTGACTGAAACTGCGTGTGGCGCCAGAATTGAATTTGTCACATCGTCTGCAATGCTATTCGTTGGGCGGGCATTACAAAAACAAAAGTGCGGCTTTGTCTTAGACACGTGATAATTCTACTCGTGATCTTGGGTTGCAATGTACCTACAATGTACTTTACCTTTAAATAGAACCTGTTACGCAGGAGCTAAAACAAAGAACGATAAATAGTTAGCCAGTTCAAGGAATCATTGTGCTCTGAATAGAGAAATTGCAAGCATCGAAGAGGTGTTGCCGCCTCCGCTAACTTAAGCTAACAGTCGGCCCATATGTATTCATTACAGAGAAACATGATTGCTTCCTGTCGTATCACACGGGTTTCAGCAATCACAACGACCGAAACCCCTTTTACACCGCTTGTTCCGATGGCACGAAGCACCCATACATTCGGATTTTCGAAAGGGTTTCAGAACAAGATTGAAGCAAATGTTTTTCAAATTTTATGAGATAACATTACTGAATTAAATATGGGTCACTTCGATCGTTAACTTTCTATCGTTTCTCTGATTATACTGTAATTATCGCATCGTTGCGGAATGTTATTGAATTTTTTTCATTTTCACATGGAATCTTCATATGGAGCCGACTATTTATCACGCGCGAGCAATCGTTTTAGAAGTAATTCGTCTTCGTTGCCTTCCTAGAGATTCTCGCAGATGGAAAGAAAATAATTTTATGCCTATTTGTGTGGGAGCACCCAAACGTGCAGCTTCCCTTTGTAGTCAACCTTCTTTCAATGCTTTAAAACTGTCTAGTGGTTGATAGGTAACTTTTCGACAAGGTGTCTATACTGACGCGCCAATCAGTCAACTTTCACAATAATTTCATTATTTTTTTTTTCTCATAATTAGTCGACACTAAAAGGACTATCTTTCACATCGTAATTTCCAGAGCAGGTGCAGCAGTTCCTTACGATAACGCATTTTGTCCATGTACGGCACACATTTTCATACGGCTGGACAGCATTTACACCTGTACCGTAATAAGATTATCAAATATAACAAAATTTCACCTATTTTCAAAATGCCGCGCCTTGCGTCTTGAAAAAAGCCTTCTGACTTTGTATTGCTGTTAAAACTCAGCTTTCGAATAACGCTGCCCGTCGACCCGACGCAGTTTACGTCACGTAATATATGAAACTTCTAGGCAATCTACCTAGCAAAATAACCATTATATTTTAACAGCTTTGACAGTTTAATCGTCACTGTTTGACCGCTTCCTGGTAGCTAAATATCACCTCAGCGTTCTGGACATTCATGAAAACTTCCCCACTAGCCTAAAAGAGAATCTGTCCGCCAATTGTGGAAATTGTTCGTATAAACACGATTTGATACGTGTGTAATGCGATTATCTTATCCGCGAAAAAAGGGGTGAAAGATAAGTATTATAGAAAGGAAGGCGAATAGCGCTTACCGAGAAAGCAATGAACTGTTTCTACAAAATGTTATGTATCAAGCAGACGATTTCTTTGTAGACAAAAGTTGCGTACTTTGTGAAAATGTTACAAGTTACGCAGCCAGATTGCTTAGCATAAAGTCATAGAATTAACCCCAAATGACTTTTCGGCGATCGCATAACCACTGGTTCTAACAAAAAAGCTCGGGCGTTGTGTTGAAGTAATGAAATGTTGAAAGTCTCCTCATAGTATTAGCGATCTAGTTCGCCTTGGTAATAAGGTTTTTTATTTATGCAAATTTTACTAAATAAAAATGCTTTAACACAAGAAGTTCTCCTTACGGCGGCAAACTATACTGATAAAAAAAATCTGTATTCAAAGCTAACCATTTAAGCGTTGAACAATTGCGATCAATGTGCAAATGACGCGAACTCGCTAAAGATGTAGCTAACGATTTTCGCAAAGTCAGCTTAGCCAAACGCTGTCTGGAAAACTCTTCAAGCCACGGTCTTTTCTTTTTTGTACGTGTCTAATCCTTAGCCCTTACCAACGGTTCCATAAGATAGCGACGTTCCATTGCTTCATAGCCTGTTCTTTCTTGCCTTCTTGAACTTAGCAACAAGTTAAAAAAATTAGATCAGGCCTTTTGTTTTTTTTGCAGGAAACTTCTGCGTGATTTACAAGCTGCTCTTAGCGCTTCGCAGTCCGTTACCCTTTCCGAAGTGTCGGCATCCTTGCATTCAACAAGGCGCACAACGTAGCACGCTAGAAACAGTTCCCAATAGAATCCGTATGGAGGGGCACATGTTTATGACTCTTAGTGCGTTTTCTCAGGCATCTTTGCCGTTTGGGCGCACGGCGAGAGGCGTAACAACGAAGCAGTGAATCGCGGAAAGGACGCTACTGAAACGAAGTAACCGCAGAAAGCAAAGCACAGTCTTGTCGAGGGGGAGAAGAGCTAGTTTCTTGACCCCTTGCAGCGCATTCTGCACATATTGCCCACGGCGGGCGATTGGGTATGGTACGTAGGCTGTTGACTATTAGATATTCTTACGCGGTGGAAGACCTGCCGCAAACAAACAGAAACAGAGTTGAATATCTGGTATCGAGTGTTTGGTGGATACTAAAGTTGAAACACAATCCCAAGCTATCGTTATTGCTGCCGTTGTAGTGGCGAGACCAGGGGCTTCAATAAACAACCAGAGACTAGGCAATAAGATGTCACGGAGAACTTGTAGGAAGAGCCGTAACCGTAGACCTACTTCAAAACTTTCCCAGAGTATTAATAAGGAATTAAACGTGGGTAAATAATATAATAATACTGAGCTTTCTTCATTTTCTCTGCTGTTCGCATCAAAGGTAGGGCAATACTTCGATCATTTCAAAGGTGGTGTGATAGTGTTGTTATGAAGGAGACGGCTCGCTTGGGGCCAAGTATCGGCGGAACTAGCAGGCACAACACGTTTTGTGCGATGAGCTCGATTCTTCCTGAGGAATGGATGGCAAAAAATCGAGATGAACTTTAGAAGGAAGCACCTGATTAATACTATAAGATGACTATTATTGTCATCATCTGCTAATTGACAAAATTCGTGAGAGGTTTATTCTACTTATTTATTTCTGTCCGTATTGGAACGTGCGCAATATCTATATGCTGGTGTATATTGATATGGGTTAATCTGACCGTTGTAACAACGCTGGCGGGAGGTGTAGGTAATAGTAAATATCCTAATATCTTGTTCGGAGCTATTACTGTAAAGTTACCTTTGAGTTGTCGGTGAGATAAGCAAGCATGTCTTTGGACTCACGAAAATTCACAGAGAGTTTGTAATGTGTTAGTTTGGGAAAATAAAAAAATGCTAAAGAGATAAGAAAAAAACACTTAGAATTTGGCTCGCATTATTTATAGATTGTCTAAAATTTAGACAGGTGTTTGTCTGACAAAGCCAACAATATCGCATATAGCAAAAGAAAGAGTTAAAAGTTAGCTCTTTATATCTCTACAGTTAGAGGGCCTTACCGGGTCGATACTGATAATAATAATATAAGTAGTATTCGAATAACTGCTTATGCAACAAGATCATCGATGGATTGGGTAATCCACGTCTTCGTTGACCCAGTGGCAATCCGCCGAAAACGGCATCCGCCAACGACTTTGTCTTCCGAAGACAACCGAAATTTATTTCGTACCATTTAATATCTAACAGGTACACCTAAGAAAAGTTATACCATAGAGACTCTACAATACTGCACTATTAATGTACTAGCCTATTAACTAAAGGAAGACAAAATTGGCTTAGATCTGAACGTGGAAATCGGCGAACTCTGATGCTCAGTAAAACTTCAGACAACAAGAATATAGGCGATAGATATAATAATCCTTTCGCCTGTTTGGTCCCTTCGTAGGTCCACGAAACCACACTTCTATCATTGTGGTAGCGAACACTAGTAAGACTTCATTGTCTTCGATCTTTCCGCTTTCGATGGATAGCCCTTTTGCCAATGCCGTTGCGAAAGCAAGGATGGTAACTACAAAAAGAAAAAGTCTAGGGTAAACTTACGCACACGGGATACGCGTCGCAAAAGGATTTTGATCATCTTACATGTTCTGCCTTTAGCAGTGTTTAAATTATCCTGTGGGTGTGAGGCGCCTTGTGTAAAATAACCAATAAAGCAAATGATAGTTGTTTTTTTTATATGTATGTATCTATAAATCCTGATTGGACACCTTTTAAGGGACATTTTCGAGTTAAGCTCCAGGACTGCTAAGCTGTACGTCGTAAACCAACCACCAAGTTTTTGTGATTTCCACATAGTACCAACTGTCAATACTCATTACAATAGAAGTATATCCAAAAGTGTTTGGTACTTCGAGAGCGAGTGCGCTGGACGTGATGTGTTGATATCATAGCCAATCTGGGATCGCTAACTGACACATACCGCTTTTCTGTGAACCGAACTAAGAATGGGGGTGGTTGCGGAGCAAGGGGCAAGCGCACTGACAGAAACTCCACCATCCAGGTCAAAACCGATACCCAGACGAGTAGATAAAGCCAACTGTAGTCAAAGAAAAGAATGAGATAAAAAGGTGTCGTAATAGTTGAAAATGATTGGAAGGCACGGGTTCAAAAAGGATGGGCTCCGAAGTGTAGGAACAACTATATTAATGGAAAGCAAAATATAGCTGTGATGATTTAATCGTAACGTGTCTGCATCTAAACTTAATGATGCTTAATTGAAGTAATGGAATCAGATGATATTTCGAAGCATTTATGAGATGACTACTAGAAACCCTGACTATTAGAAGAACCTGGTGGCAGGCCACATCAACGGGAAAACATACAAGCTTGTCATAATTGAGCAGGCAGAATTTGCAATCAGGGAATAATGGTAAACATCTATGAAAGTTCTAGGAAAAGTCTACTTTGCGATCATGAGGTAAGCAAATTGGTTCCTACGAGTGGAGCCGCTGAACTGACACCAATATAACATCAATATAAATCTAAGTTAAATTTCATTTTGTTTTCGCAGACACACTGCCTGCCACCTGTGTCTAAATACTCTTCCAACCTTCCGTGTTTGTCCTACGCCGTTAATGTAAAAGTCAACGATCGCATAAATGTTTTTGTTCTTAGTTACTAGAGAATTTTTAGTAACGAGTGATGGACTATTCCTTGTCTGTTCAGAAACATATTCGTTGATTTTGCTTACAGTCAGTGCTCATGCAGGTTTTAGAAAAGTTCTTTTTTTTTTTTAAGGAAAGTTTTAGGAAAGGACCAACAGCCTTATATGCCAGGCAATAACATAAACGGTAGGACTGCATGCCACTTGTGTATGTAGACGTGTTCCACGCAATTCAATCATAAGTCGTCTAATGTTTAACTAGACACAATTAAGTGCTCACAGTCATTTAAATTTTTTTTCTATATAAGCTAACTCTAAACAGATATAAACGAAAAATTAAAATATCATAGGCACTCTGTAACTCTGAGCATAACAGCAGCACACGCATCGTAGGTGGGCACTGATGAAAATTTACAAAGTATCTACCTAAAAGCTATGTTCATCTGAACTTAGTTCGCCCCGACATACGAGAACTTCGTTTGGATCGGTGTTTGGGCATCTTCGTGGTTGGGCGGTCTTTACAATAGCTGACGTGATAGATCGAATACAATCCCTGGCCGCTAATGTAAATGTCAAGACGTAGTTCTTTAGTGGTCTGTTTGTCAGTCGCAAGGCAAATCTGCAGCACCACAACCTCACGCGTCGACGAGTTATGAAAGTAGATTAGACTCGTTTTGGTCGAGCAGGGCGGAGTGCATGCAAAGATCGCAAAATACAGCGGGTATCTGACTGGAGCTTTCCTAGCAGCCTGACCAGGAGTAGCATGCCTGTGTAAAAAAAGCCTATGCGCGGTCTACCGTTGTTCTCGTCAACACATTGGACGAAAGCTGTTTGCCAGTTGGATGCTCTCAAGAATATCCCATAGTTTTTTTTTACATCTTTTTTACTTCTTTCATCTTCTCAATTTCTTCTATAGTAGGCAGTGTTTATTTATTCGCTGAGAGCGACTGATAGATGAACGTGTTTCTCATTTAGTTTGACATGACAGCTAATATTTAAGAACTATGAAAACCACAAGGTTCGTAACAGGGAGCACTGTAAACTCTCTCTCTCTCTCTCTCTCTCTCTCTATATATATATATATATATATATATATATATATATATATATATATATATATATATCTTTTATACCAAGTAGATCCTATGGGTTCATCAAAAGCGTCGACTAACATGCGTAGTACAGGTACGCATATTATATGGTGGTCAATGAAGAAGGTCACTCTTCAGATAATAAAACCCTGCGACTCCCACACATCCAGCGTTTTAGCTAAAAGCAGCCAAAGCCCCCACCTGTTTGCCGATCGGCCGGACCAACTCTAGGCTCTCCAAAAACCCCTCCTGTTTCCCGCTATTGGGTATATGTATATACAAATGCGTTGATATGTGACGCACAGCTTCCTCCAAGTCGCTCTTTTACCCTTGCTCTGTTTCCATGAAATGTAGGGACTTTTTGCTTACCACCTCACGTTGCTGAACGAACCCACAGATGAGTCCGGGAAATGGATCCGGGCCCTGAACGCGACGACCTATCAGGACTGACTACAACAAATGCATTGCCATGTTTGCCATCTAACATATGCCTTGCGACGAAAAGAGCGGCTAGAAGGGCGTTCCGCCTTAGACAACAAGAGCGTGCACCCGTTGCCACCCTCATCGTTGTCGCGGGAGCGGCAGTGAGGCGTGCGCAGTCCTTTTCTCGTTCTCATTATGGTTCGTGTTAGGCGACGCAGAATACGCCACGAGTAGTCTTGCAACAGTAGACGACAGGCCAGTCCTGTTGTCACTTCCGTTCCTCCAAACAAGCTGAGACTGCAGACAACGTCCGCAACAAGCTGATGACAAGCGACCGAGCGAGGATGTCCACCACCGCTGCCAGATAACACACCCTTCTTCACCCAAATACCTCGGGTGATAACGGGACTATCACTGTTACCTCCACACAGGTACGTGACCAGACGGTAAGGAACATACGGCGCTGCCTGCTGCTGTTTTCTCGTCGTTGTCGTTATTGACGTTATGGATAAAGCAATCCGAAGGTTATGATGGTTTAGTCGTATGTCCACACACATACACCGTTGGCGTACAGCGAAAGAGAAAGGGACAACTGGGTGAAGGAACGCCTGGGTACCCAGGTGTCTAAAACAAAGGTTGGCCTATCCTTTTCGTAAAGTTCGCTGATCAACAAAAGTTAAGTAACTGTAATCGTGATGGAATAGTTAGGCAGCTAATGCTGGACTATATCTTTTGACAAATTTTGATTGAAACACATAATATATTTACATCTGTAAAGACGGACAATGGGTGTGCGAAAAAATTCGATCGATCGGCTAGAGTCGTCCTGTTCATGAGGTTTTTAGAAAGGTTCCAAAAGTTTTACTTTGAAGCCGTTTGGGCTCCTTCCATAAAAAAAATAAGTTAAAAGTAAAACTAACTTCCCTTTGATCACTGGTCTTTGATCCAGGATATACCGTCCTATTTATTTCTCGTTGCCTTCAAGAGCATTGTATGACAAATTGAAGTACGTCTACTAATATGGAGAATTAGTTAGATTTAAGAGGTTTTCGAACATCGTTAGCTTTGTAACCACTAGTCACCGTCTAAACAATGTGGCGCCCCTGTAAATTTCTTTTTTTTTTTGAAGACCCTACTAGACGTTCTGCAGACGCTCCATTTATCTTCTGTAATATCTGAACAGTGTGGAAAAATTTGTCCCCGCTGTATGAAAATCATTGATAAATTCGCACTCACCTCGTCACATGCGGCGCATCGTGGCTTAATTTGTTCCGCATAATGTCTTTCGCAGAAGATTCGACCGTCCTTCATACAATACGTGAGATCGACGAGTAGCTCATGACAAGTGTCGCAAGCGAAACAGGCGCTGTGCCAAGCCACCTGGCGGCATTCAAGAGAAACACGAGTGTTTTATGAGTGGCGCTGGTGTATTGAGTATTGAATAGATACATAACGGCAGATATGTTACGGATCTCTATACGATACACCAAAACCAACTGCAACACGCAGTATATTAACATTAACTCCTTTTGTTATACTTGTACTTGTTAGATATATTTATACATAGTATGTAGTAAAAATTATTGAAATGCTATGAACATCTTAGCAAATGTGGCATTACCTGTTCGCCGAACTTTGGTGCGATCACTCCGAGTTGTCCGGCGGGCAAAATGCCTCCACATCGTCGGCAGTCCTAAATATAGTCAGATCATTATAAACAGAATCAATAGTATCCTCATATATTAACACATGGAACACCCATTGAGCATGGGAACACAGTCGATATTAGCAGCCTTTTGCTATTAAATCTTCAACTACATAACGCAATTTACTATACCAAGATATAACTATAAGATATGGTTCAGGATAAGCACAAAAACAAAATACCCCTTTGAATTTGATGTCTTTCATCTTTATCCTACAAATGACCATTTTATACCTCTACGTAATTCCGATAATTCGTCATTTTTCCCCCTGTATAGTGCAGTTCGTTTATAATTACCCAATATTAGAAGACACAAATTCAAAAACAGAAATTTTTTACACAAAAGGTGTAACAATGGCATAATCGATCGGAGTGGATATTAAAGGTTACCAATTAAAAAAAGAGTTTCGACACCAAAAGTGAAACATGACTGAATCAATGTAGCTGGATTGCTATTTTATATTTATTTATAGTTAATAATATTTATTTATAAGTGTGGAAATTAAATCGAAAACCCACAGTTAATTAACCCACTTGCTTTAGAATGACAGATGTTGAATCGAGTGATAGGTCGAGAAAAAAGTTCTCTAAGATTCAAAGAGATCCGTGACTTCGTGTAATGATCCAAGCTTTACGCCAAATGTCCTCGGGGGGGGGGGGGGGGGTAGCAAATAGCAGGAATAAAAATGATGTTATTCTAGAACATACGACAAAGAAATTGTTCAATATATGTTATATTTGCACTATTTTTGAACAACTTTGCTTTATTCGTAACTAAAACAGATTAACTAAACGAACTACCTCAAAGTGCCTATATTAATATTATCTATAATATTGATATACCTTACACTAATACCTTATGTCTCTATAGTGAATGCTATGACTGTACATCTGTCTCCATTTTTATTGTAGCTTTGTATGATACTCTACCACCTACAACTGGCATATATACTCTGTCGCGAAGGTGTGCTCTTCAGGATGTTATTCTCACGTAGAGTCTTTTATCGTTCTCGAGAGCAGGATATTCTTTATCGATGCTTTAGCTTTTCCTGCTGGCATGTTGGCCTGATACAAAATCGTATTCGGACGCCAACGATGGTCATCGATGTGTACCTTTCAGATCCCTCACGCGTTAGCAAATATGTATGGGTACCCTTATAGCGGTATTTGATCAGGAGCAAAACCTCGGCCTTCGCGTGCATTGATACAGCTGACAGCGGCGTCAAAGGTTAGCTGTATATTGGCTACTGGAGTTTCAGGTTGTTGTCCCAGGACGGTTGACGTGGGCGCTAGTGTCTCTACTAGCGACGACTGGTTCAGAGATCAAGTTACCGTATAAATCAGAGCAGCTCCGAAGGGAGAAGGTCCGGATCGAGGAAAGCTATGCTCAGCATAATCCCTCGACTTGCGATCGAGCTCAAGTGGTCTCGGTCTGGGTGTTTCCTATAGTGTTTCCTGGGTTCATGCTCTATCGAGTGACCTTTCCAGTTTGAGTCGATTCCTGATCACGCAGTACCTTCTGAATAGCAACTGCAAATTTCATTATGTTTCTTTGCCTGCTCACATTCGACGCATTCAATGTACAAAATATAACACACGACCCGTTATATGGATCGGGCTTATGGACAACGGTGACGTTTTTTAGATAGCTTTTTTAGCATAGAAATCTGTACATTTCATATATATCTGTCGATACTAGCGACACGTCAATGATCCGCGTTTACCCGGCACCAAAATGACTACCAGCAACAATAATCGTCGTACAATACAGCCTGTGGCTATAATAGATTTATTATTCAGTCTAATGGAAGTTCTGGCCCGACGGCTAACCAGCCATCATTGACGCTGGGCAGTCAGTTATTCTACAGTTACTGTAGACGTAGTATAATTATATGTCCAGTGTCAAAAAATAGACCCTTTCCATATATGCTGCATTCTCTGTAAAACTATACTTAAAGGCACAACATGGAAGGATTAAGCAGACGAAATCATCTAATTTTATAGTAACGGGAGCGAATATGCCGCTCAGAGTGCATGTTCATTTACATCAACAAGTAGATGTAACCAATCAGCGAACGTACCGTAAAACGAAACTGGTTTCAGTGAAAGTCCATGCTGATACAGTACACGCGTGAATAATTCATGGCACGTACGGCATGTCCTGATAGCTGACAACGGCGAATATCAAAAGGACGCCGTGAAACACCAAACATTTGCTAGACATTTACCAGGGGCTTTAAAAAAAGGAGAACTATGAAAACCTAATCGTAGTGGTGATAACGACGCAGGAGAAATGGCCGGGGGACGATCACGATAACGACGTCAAAAACATCATTGCGGTGTGTCCACGTGAGCAGAACCGGGAGCTAGGTTTGGATACCTAGACTCTGGCCCGTTCACGAGCTGTCAGCGTGGTTCTTTAATGGATGACCTTTTAAAATGAAAGAGTATAAGTTCACTCCTGTTGGATTATAGAATCCCCTTAATCTTTAATCATCTTTTCAGATGACGAGTTAGTGTCATAGGATTGATATAGAGTGTGATAGGATTGATGGAAGTTACGAAGCTCTTTCATTGTAGATGATAAAAAACGTGTAGACGAACAAAACATTTTCTGAGTTCCGACATACTTTTAATTGGATAAAAGGAAACAAATGTTTGAGTTAATAGCAGCTTGTACGATTGTTATACCTGTCTACAGGTTTGTTAAACTGCAGGGAATTCTAAACAGAGTCAGTGAGATCCACTCCGACTCTATTTCTCTTAGTAAAGCAGGTCCATAACGCTAATCCGAAGAGAAAGAATATCCCGACGATTTAATCTCACAATAAGGCAGCCGAGATATGCATTAAAAGCTATTCTTTTTCCGGAATGTTCTGTCCATGTGTAGTAAAGTTGAGTCTGATCATGGCTTCAACATTTGCCACCCCCAAACTAGGTATTGGTGTCGAGCTCTTCAAGCCTAAATCATGCGTAGAAATGATTCTACTTTGTAAATACCTACTATGATTGTTACAGTGGTCGTATAACAATATTATCAAGAACATCGTTACTGGATTTTGGATATGTAGCGCCTGGCTACATGTTGAGACTTACAACGGGAGCGTCGAGCGCCTCGCAGACGAAGCCGATATCGAGTGCACACTCATTGCGCGTGTTGACGAAATCTTCGAATGCCTTATGGTGCTCCTTTTCGAGGAATTTACAATACGGCAACGCCAGGTCCTGTTTCGGTAACTGGAGGATCAGCTGTTTGTCGCGGTACTTCTCGCCTGGTGAACTCGCCTTTGGTACTTTGTGATTCGGGAGCTCGCGGAAATATCTGTCGATCTACTTGGACATAAAACGCATGGGAAGGACTGAGGATAACTGGCCGAATTTCCTGACCTGACCCTGCGAGTTTTTGGTTATCTAGTGAGTTGAAAATCTTGAATGCTTTCTAAATTGCGGACAGTCACCAGACGAAGACTGATAAATATATACATGAAATATTTTGCAACATTTGGGAATGTACAGCTGTAGGTCGACTGGGAGTTATGAGAGACACGTATGTTATTTAGTGCTAAAAATCAATGCTTGCCATTTAGGTTTCTGTTTCTTGAAGACGAGAAAGCTTAATTTGTTGAAACGCTGAGCCTTTAGCATTTCGTTACTATTATTGACAATGCATAGATGAGTGTGAAAAGATGCCGACGACCAGTATTAAACTACCATTTAATGTTGTTAAAACTACATTAACAAAGTAATACAACAACAGAACGAATAAGAAACTTGCTCTTCTTTTTAATGGTTTACATGCGTATACCATCCCACCTTGTCAGCAGGCAATCCTGGGGGTACCCAGGAGTAGCCCTGGGCGCGAGGGTGGGCGTGGGACAAAGTCCTATCCTTGGCAGAGTTGGAGAGGTCAGGCGAGAGCGCGCTTGAATGGTCGCATTTCTTGTCGGCGTTCGTTTTAATACCGAGGCGCTCTTTTGATGACACATTCTCCTCATTGTAAATATCGTGTGACTCGCGAGGACACTTACAATTCGAGCATGACTTCCTGCAAAATTCAAAAGGGAGTACGCAAGGCAGATTGTTGTGGTGAGCTTGGGTATTGTTTGTCTGTTCCGAACAAAACATGACGTAATAGATATCCTGCAAGCGGCTATGAAATTGATACAATTCTTACGTATTAAAGAAATTAATAGTCCCAACAAAAGATAACACGACGTTAATTACGCTATTAACTGAAAATTGTTTTTTTTCGTGTCCCTCCTTTCCAGTGTTAGTCGATTGTGAAATTAATTGTTTCCGTAGCGTCGACGGTAAAATGGCTCCAAGTTGACTCAAAGGTTGGCCCTCTATTCACCTATAAGGTGCAGCTCGAGTCGGCCCTACATTGGAACGACACACGCCTGTGTAAAGTAGAGGACTTTATTATGCCCTGAATGACAGATGTCATTTTAGACTCCGTGTCTGTTACACAACTGTGAATTTTTCGTTACGTATTTCAATTTTCAAATAGCGCCCACATTAAGCAATGTAAGCCAATTGTAGTTTATTAGGTTTGACTACCCTTTCTGTTCACTTTGTCTATTTCGAACGTTGTGCTTTAGTAGCATTCTATAGGGCTCTAGTAGTAAAACCTGTTCAAACGACAGTAAGAATCTCTTTTCCCATATTCATGGTATGCAGTGGCAAGTGCGTTGGATATAAGAATGTATAAATGCTATGACACCATATCTAACTCGTGGCTATCCCTAAGTTAACAGTTGAGTTAGGGTAAGTTGGTATGAATCATATGTTTTACCTTAAAGTACTATTTTCTCCCGCTTTTTAGGCCCCCGTTAGAATATTACAACTAAAATTATATTAGGACGAGAAACATGATTAGCTGGAGTCCGACAGGGACGCTCCGTCCGTGATCCAAGCGCACGATACAGAGATTTAACAACTACTCGAAAAATTCCTGGAGCGTGATTGCTTGATCTATGCGCTAAAAGGGGAGTTTTCCAAAAATGAAACATAGCTCTTTTAAAATGCTCGCAAGCACCGATGCTTATCAATTGACGCAAATTCGCAGTGCATGAAATCGTCCACAAATATGAACAGTCTGAAGAGGCTGGGTCTATTGGGAAACGGGCTTTCCTGGTGCCGATTTCCGCAGAACTTTCGGGCATAGGGACGAATTACTTGCAAACATCATGGCCAGCCAAAGTATCTGTGTTTTGCATATGGCATTTAAACCGTTAGATATTGCCTCGGGCTGCAGAATCTGTATGATTTCGTCTTCTTCTTCATTTACGGTCTTGACTGCTGCCTCTATTGGAAAAAAATTGCTCGTAAGAACACGGCCGAAACGAAGGACACGGCCCCGTTGAAACGAGCTGAGACGTATTTCGGCCATGAAAAGGTGACTTGTTTGCAATGTTCAAACGGAAAATTAAAATCGACTCGAGCTGAGCTGCACCGCTTTCGTATGCCTTTCGATTAAAACGATAACGTCCTCAGCGTTTTCTCGCCAATACAGCGAACAGCTTAGGACGGTAGAAATAGATCCCGCCGACGGAATGACTCGCCTAAGCGAGGCCCAGTAGGCCACAGCTTCCTGGTAACGTAAGATTTTTTGAAATGTCGATTGTGTTTATCGCTAGCATGTGTGACTGTGATCAAAGTTTTCAATATTAAAAGTGTTACCGCTAAAAAACGACAGATTTATAAAAATTTTCTGCTTGTTTTTGTGTGTGACTGGCTCTGTTGTGCCTGTAGAAATACGGATTTTCTAAGATCATTCCACAATTCTCACAGACACTAAATAGTAATTGACAACGTAGCACAATGCCGGTATCTTATGCTAACGCTCTATAAAAAGCGGGTTATTTTCTAACAATAGCGGTGTTCGCGTCCACTGTATCTACAGTCACTAGGGCAGAGACGATCTAGATGCAGCGTCTACATCTTCTAGTGTTTACATGAATCCATATCGAATAACTAATGCACTGGCCTCTATGATTGCAGAACTGCTAGCCTGTAGTTCTTATATCCATGGATACTCAACATAAGCAAAGATAGGTAGCCTCCTTTTTAATATGGCTGTTGCAAGCCTTTTGGGCCATAATAAAGCCCCACCTAATTCGTTTGAAAAAGAATCGCTTGCGCTCTGTTTTTGCCACGGTTTCCTTTAGCCATAGAAAGCAGCTGGCTCAAGCATGGTTTACATTGGGTGTCTCCGAATTGAGAGAGCTCGGGCGCGCCGTCCGCTCCCGAAGACGCTGAATAATGCCGGTGCCACTTTAAGACGTGCATCCTTCATGAGACCAGCTTTAGACTGTTTGCGATGCAGCGAAAGCTACCACGGGTACGGGCCATCATTGACCCGATGCATACCTGATCTTTGAACCCACGCCCCGCATATTCCGTCAGTAAAATACTGCTCTAATGTGTCCTTTCCCTTAGATGTGTAAGGCGTTTTAATATGAACAGGTCACAGCTTAGGGTCGGAACGGATGGACGCATCGGTTTAGGCCGCGCCAGGCTGGTTCAAACGTTCTGAAGCCGACCGCTTTACGTGTGGAGTAAGGGCGGGTATTTGGGCGACCAATCACCGAAGGACCACACGGAAGCATCATCACGAACCCGATAAATATGAGAGCTTGGCTGGACATCGACAGACAGAACTCGTTTAAAATAAAGCGTTCTCTTCGTGTACCGACGTAAAGGGAACTTGGTATTTTTGTTGGCAGATAAAAACTTGTCATATATATATACACTTGCATTAATTTGTGCGATTGTATTTGTTATAACAGTATGCAAATTTTGCACATATATTAATTTGTATCGAAAACTACGTAGGTTCATTTGTTAGTCATATCAGACCATTCAAAGACAAATATAAACGATATTGATTCCCACATGTAACGGGACGCGACGTGTCTAGTAACGGAAGCAGCTGCTGCTGTTGTTGGACGTTGGATATTGTTGTAAGATAAGAGTACTAGTCGAACCTGGCATAATTCTGGATAGCCTTATGAGATCTATTGTGAGACATCACTCAAAGGCTGCCTTCCCTATAAAAACAAGAACGAATTCAGCTATCCCACGACGATCTCTGATCGTTTGCCCTTAAAATGTTGCCCGCTCCATTGACACTGGCGGGTGTCCTTTTGCTGTTAGCAAAATGAATAGCAGTTTATAATGATTTTTCCCTAAGTGGCTTAAGATTCAATCCCTATTGGCAAAGGCCTCAACCTTGGCAAAGCGCCGATTTTGCTCTGATTCAGTAGCATCTACTCGTTAGATAGTAATGACCCATTGGGCTGTTGTATATATAATAGAAGTACAAGATCGCAAGTCTTTCCCGAAATCTTTCGGCGCAATTCAGTCATAGGGTCGACAAATAAACGTAAGGCTGATGACAAAAAGCCAGACGTATAAGACCACCTATATCCGAGACACAAGGTCATAATTGGAATTTTTATTAACCTAACAATTATGTTATCCGTTATGTTACGGAAAACTTTATATAGTTTGATTTCTAGACAATTACTCATACAAAACAATTATTTACACAAGACAACTACACTGTATGCTCGTTGTGCTTGTGACCACTTCGAAGACAGATGATTTTCACTTGAACTAATGAGGGAAATGTCTTGGATGGAAATCTATTATGTGTAGTGACGGTTCGGCTAGTTTAATGAAGTTCATATTGTCCTCTCCTCGTCATCAAGGAAGACAGCTTTGTCCGATGTAAATAAAAAGTACGACGGAAAAATTAAGAGAAAAGAGAAGGAGCCATGACGTCAGGGGTACCTATGAATACTGTCGGATCCCCCCTTCCCCCCACAGAGCTGTACCTCAGAAAAGATCATCGGCGACAGTAGTAGCAGTAGCAAGCGTACAAATAGCGGAGGGACGAGCCTTGCCAGTCAGAATCGTATTACCCTGTCAAATGGCCCCACAAAGTCATCAGGTGTGAAAGGAAGGGGAAAATAGGCAAAGCAAGTGTCGCTGACCAGCTCACAGGCAAATCAGCCTTCGTCAGCTCGGCAGAGCGTCAAAGCAAAAGATGAACAAGATATAGTAGAAACATTACCTGTTAGGCATCTGAGGAGTGTTACGCGAGAAAGAGTAAATTGTGTTTACTGAATGTATTGCATTCGCTATTATAGGCAGAGATGTCTAGAGAATGATTTAACAATTATAAAGGTCATGTCTATAGAATGAGATGCGACACAGGGTGCGAAATACCGGTCGGCCATTTCATTGGATAATGCTATCTACCGTTTATCAGTGTACGTTGAAATCTTAGTCTGAACATCTGTGTACTTATTTTTTTCTTTTTCCACGCTAGCAGCGAGAATAATAATATTTCCAAAGTTATAGAATGAAACCAGCGATGACGCCATATTGCCGTACAGACAATATACATACGGAATACCTAATGCAGTGCTTAGCAGCCCAACCTGATGTAAAACTCGAAACATAGAGACTATCTGTATATGTTATTAAACATAGTTAACTTTGGGCAACTTCAACGCGCTCCATGCGCGTATTTTGCAAGTTAAGTTACACTGTGTTAGAAGAAGTGAACTGAACTTTAGTCACATCTTTAGACAATTTGTATATGATGCCTGTGTACATCATTTTTATGAAGCAAATAAAGTAAAAACAAATGTTTTTTGCATTTCTGAAATTCGGAACTACAAAGGCTTTAAAAAGATCTCTATATCAGGAAACTAGACTATGCACCAGACTCAAGATTGATTCAATGCAGGTTGCCAAAAATACCTCAGGGTCAGTTTTTAGGTAAGTCTTAATTATATTCGAAATACTTCATAGCGAAGAAGATAAAGAAAAACAGGTGGACGTCATCGAAACATCTAACGCTTAATTTTTCTTATACAGAATGAATATAAAAAGACGTTTTTGTTGAATGGTTTCAAAATTATAATTTCAGTGCATGATATTTTTAAAAACGACAGCTTCATCATTTGTATCGAATCTCAATTATGAACTGGTCTTTGGCGGCTTGTGAACTTCAGGGCCGGTACCTGTTTG